GCTCGGTTATGGTCAATCTTTACATAGTCCTGATTATGTAAATATCAAATATTCAAGTATCAAATATTGTAAGGTAGTTAAGTTGGAAAAACAAAAAAGGAGAGTTGTATGGCGCCAAATCCTCACCTGTCCTACTAGAAAGTTAGGAGATTTGTCTCAAAAGATGGAAAGTGCAGTCCAGTTATTTTCAAATATGAACATTTCCATATTTTCAACATGGTGATGGCTGGCCATCCCCCGAGACCAAGTCAGTCTGCATCTGGTGCTCACGGGAGACCCTGGGGTACGGCTGCTCCGTCCTGAGCTTTCTACACAAGCCCCCCCCTGCATGTGAGCCACGAGGCTCCCGGCAGAGTCCAGCAGGCGGCGGGGCCTCCAGGCCCGGAAGACAGGCGCTTTCACGACAGGGAAGAGGCAGCTTTTCCATAGGTACACCAGGAGCCACAAGGGACCGCAAACGATGACTGAAGACAACACACGTGTCTTTCTGAAAAACTGCTAATATTACAGAGAGGCAGAGTACAGAGAGAGAGAGGAGCCCCTGGGTCACTCCCCAAATGGCTGCAATGGCTGGGGCTGGCGCAGGCCAAAGCAAGGAGCCCAGAACTCTCTCTGTGTCTCCCACACAGGTGCAGGGACCCAAGGACTTGGGCCTTCTGCTGCTGCTTTCCCAGGTGCATTAGCAGGGAGCTGGATTGGGAGTGGAGCAGTTGAAGTTCGAACTGGCACCCACATGGGATGCTGGCATCGCAGGGGCTGGCTTAACCTGCTGGGCCACAGCGCCAGCCCCTCTGTGAGCATTTGGAAGTCCTCTTGTACTGTTAGTGTGAAACTCGGGGAGACAGTGTAGTCGGCTGCCAGAAGTCCGTCCCTCTCTGTTGTCCTATGCTACATTCAGGGCCAAGAGAAGCCATGCTCGTCTGTATATGGCTTTTCCACAGGCTCCAATCCCACCGTGTGGTCTATGGTCGGCTCTGCAGTAACCATAGCCTTGGGTTTTAGGGATCCACCTCAGGGCTTCCCTCTGAGAAGAACAGCGTATTTTATTAATGCATGAATAAAAAAGAATAGTGTATCTGTCATAAAGAGATGTGCTATCTCCTTAAGCTCACAGAGGAACAACCCTGTGATGTTGCAAACCCCAAAATAACTAGTTAAGGAAGCCTGTGCCTGGGTACCTGGACGGAATGCTCTGGACTCACTATCAGGACAGGCGCCGTGCAAGAAAGGAGACAGAACTAAAGACGCCCACGCGGCTGGAGGAAGAGAAGGATGTTCTCAAGAGGAAGAGATCTTGGGCCGGCGCCGTGGCTCACTAGGCTAATCCTCCGCCTTGCGGCGCCGGCACACCAGGTTCTAGTCCCGGTCGGGGTGCCGGATTCTGTCCCGGTTGCTCCTCTTCCAGGCCAGCTCTCTGCTGTGGCCAGGGAGTGCAGTGGAGGATGGCCCAGGTGCTTGGGCCCTGCACCCCATGGGAGACCAGGAGAAGCACCTGGCTCCTGCCATCGGATCAGCGCGGTGCGCCGGCCGCAGTGGCCATTGGAGGGTGAACCAACGGCAAAGGAAGACCTTTCTCTCTGTCTCTCTCTCTCACTGTCCACTCTGCCTGTCAAAAAAAAAAAAAAAAAAGAAAGAAAGAAAGAAAGATAGATAGATAGATAGATAGATCGATCTTGGGAACTCACTGGGAATTCACCGGACGGATGTGAAATAGCAAACACGACCTTGAAGGCAGAATGGACTCACGTGTGTTTGTATGGTGTAGACACGGCTTTAGGCTAGGGCACAAGTCTACACCAGAATGGTGAGTGGGGTCAGGGAAATTCACCAGAGGCAGAGAAGTGAGACCGCAGGGATGAGACCAGGATGGGTCTCTCCAAGAGGCCCACGCCCAGGAGCCCTCTTACACACGCACAGCCTCAGAATTATCAGTGGAGCCAGTGGGAACGAGATATCTATCCCAAGGAATGATGGGAAAGCCAGATAAATTTGAGATGGAAAAGAAAGATCGGCATGAAACACTGGCAGCAACACAAGGTGAGCTCCAAGGTGGCTGGAGATGGAGGGAGACGCAGCCTCTGAGACACGCCCTGACACGGGTCAGGAGCCAGGACTCCAGTCAGCGGCTCGCTGCCCGGCTGTGCCTCACCTCCCTCTGAGGAACGCACGCTCCTTACCCCATATCCTTCCCCCAGACCAAGCCAGCACCCGGTGCTCATGGGCAGGAGTTCTCACGTGTGAGCGGGCGTCAGAGTCGGGTGGACAGCTGGATAACCCCGGCCACGGGGCCTCCCAGAGCTTCCGATCCTTAAGGTCCAGATGGTGCCGTGGAGTTGGAGGTTCTACCCAATTTCCTGGTGGCTCCTAGGCTGCTGCCCGGGGCCCCTCTTGGAGAGCCAGTTTTGGGAAGGGAAGGCCCTCGGATGATAGGACAGGCTGGGGCACCACTGTGGCATCGCCATGTAAAGTCACCTCCTGCCACACCAGCATCCCATGAGGGCACCACAATTCTTGTCCTGGCTGTTCCGATCCAGCTCCCTGCTCATGTGCTGGGAAAGCGCAGAAGATGGTCCCAGTCCTTGGGCCCCTCACCCACTTAGGAGACCCAGATGGATTCCCGGTTCTTGGCTTTGGCCTGTCTCAACCCTGGCCATTGTCATTTGGGGAGTGAACCAGCGGATGGAAGACCTCTTTCTTTCTGTCTCTCCCTCTCTTTCTCTGTAACTCTGCCTTTCAAATAAATGATACAGAATCTAAAAAAAGAGAGGTAAGGCAGGTTAAGAGGGGGTGAGGCAGGTGGCAGGTGGAGTTAGGCCTGGGGTAGGTGTGGACCCCTTGGGGGGAGGACGGTCCCAGTTAGAAGGTGAAAATGGGGCAGGCATGGCGCATGGCCACAACTTCCCAGTCTCGTCATCTCTCACTCTGGGAGACACCGTAAGACAAAGACAAAGGGGCACAAGACTGCAGGGACACAGCCCAGGATCGCAGACGAAGCAACCCCGAGGCCAGGAATGAGGAAAGTCTCCTCCGGGAAGCACATGGCAGACATGAGGGCCCCAGGGGAGGGGTTCCTGCAGCCTCTGTCAGAGCACCAGGCCCGGATCTGCTGAGAGCAGTTCTGCAGAAGCGAGGGTGGGCACCAGGGAGAACGCAGCTCCACGATGCAGGCCCCAAACTCTGCTGCGCGCGGCAACCACCCAGGGAGCTTTCGACTGCTCTAAGTGTGGGATGACGCTCCTGTGTGATGTTAGAATTCCTGGGGATGGTCCCCAGGCAGCCACGTTCTGCAGAACCTCCCCAAGGGATTACAAAAAGGTTTAAGGACAGGACCTTGCTGCTCAAAGTGTGGCCCATGAGGTCAGCATAGGGGGCAGTGGGTAAAGCCGCTGGCTGTGACACTGGCAACCCATGTAGGCACTGGTTCGAGTCCCAGTTGCTCCACTTTTGATCTAGCTCCCTACTAATGTGCCTGTGAAAAGTAGCAAAAGATGGCCCAAGTGTCTGGGACCCTGCCAACCACACGGGAGACCTGCATGAAGCTCTTGGCTCCTGGCCATGGCCTAGCCCAGCGCTGGCCCTTGTAGTCACTTGGGGAGTGAACGAGCGGATGGAAGAGCTCACTGTCTCTCCCTCTCTCTGTCACTCTGACTTTGAAATCAAATAAGTGTGGCCTATGAACCAACAGCCCAGCTAGCTTGCTAGAGATGCTGAATCTCAGGTTTGACCCCAGCCTCACTGACTGTGAATCTCCTTTCTCAACATTTTTTATTTACTTATTCTAATTTACTTGAAAGAGAGAGAGAGAGAGAGAGAGAGCGCGATTGCTTCCATCCACTGGTTCAATCCCCAAATGTACACCGTGCCTGGCTGAAGCCAGGAGCTCAGAACTCAGTGTGGGTCTTCCACGTGGGTGGTGAGGACCCCAGTACTTGAGCCGTCACCTGCTGCCTCCCAGGGTGGAGCCGGGACTCTCACACCAGGCACTCTGATAGGAGATGCAGGCATTTCCAGCCCCATCTTTTTTTTGGGGGGGGACAGGCAGAGTTAGACAGTGAGAGAGAGAGAGAGAGACAGAGAGAAAGGTCTTCCTTTTACCGTTGGTTCACCTCCCAAATGGCCGCCAGGGCCGGCGTGCTGCACTGATCCGAAGCCAGGAGCCAGGTGCTTCCTCCTGGTCTCCCATGCAGGTGCAGGGCCCAAGCACTTGGGCCATCCTCCACTGCCTTCCTGGGCCACAGCAGAGAGCTGGCCTGGAAGAGGGGCAACCGGGACAGAATCCGGCGCCCCGACCGGGACTAGAACCCGGGGTGCCGGCGCTGCAGGCGGAGGATTAGCCTAGTGAGCCGCGGCGCCGGCTCCGGCCGCATCTTAGCTGCTGCACCAGCCACCGCCCGGAATCGGCCTTTGTGTCCGCAGGCCCTGGAGCGTGCACACAGACGTCTCAGGAGAGCTGTCCTCGGCCCTCAGCAGTTGCAAAGCGCGAGGCAACGGCACGAGGGGCTGGGAGGGGCCCGGCTCGGAACACGCCCGCCCCCCACTCCCGGCCCCGCGGAGGCCGTCTGTCCGGGGGAGCCCGCACCCGTTACCCGTGATGTTCCAGGGCAGGAGGTCCCGTGCACTGTGCCGGAGCGGAAGAAGACTGCAGACAAAGCGCAAATCCCAACCGGCTGCCTGCGGGAAGAGGGCCAGAGGAGCAGGAGACCCCGAACTGTCTGCATTCCTTCACCCTGTGTGTGCGCGCGCGCGCTTGTGTGTGCGTGTGCGGGTTGGCGCAGATTATGTGGGTGGTGGGATTATGGGATATTCTTGAACATTTTCTTTATTAAAAAAATCTAATAAATGGTGTTTTTAAAAAACCAATATACAAGCAAAAGCTATTAGAAACAGCAAGATGGATTTGGCAAAAATCACAATCTTAATAGGATACCTTAATATTATTGCATTGCTTCGTCTTTGTCAAATCAAGAAGGCACGGAGAAATAAAAATATGGAAGATATGAATAATTTCATTAATAAGATTATTTACTAGATATATTTCAAAATCTGTAATCCACACAGAATACATAGTCTTAACACATTCCACTTAGCGTTTTGAACAGCTCATCATTTTTCTAACCCACAAAGGAAGTGTTAGTGACTTGCCAAAGGCAGGAAGGTTAAGCCACAAGAGGGCAGAGGAAACGCACGCCGTCTCGTCACCTCTGAGCCGCAGGGACTACGAGAGCGGCTTTATGAAGCAGGTGCTCAGCACACCCAAGGGGCTTCAAAATGCTCACGGAAAAACAGAATAAAAGATAATGTGCATTTTTATAAACTTTATTGAGGAGCTCTTGCATTTATTGTTGGGAAGAAGGCTACATATTCTTACTTGAATGTAGTAAAATAGTTTATAATAAAATAGTTTACAATCAAAGTTTAAGCAAATAAAAAGCCTAAAGTATTTGGAAAGAGAAATTCTGCCAAAACGATTCATGTCACTGTTATTTCAACTGTAATGCAACAGGAGTTTTCATGAAATTTTAGGATAATTTAAAAATTAACATGAAAGGAAAATGTACATTGACCAGGTGAATATTTGAAATAATCTGTATTCTGTAAGATTAAAAGTTTTATAAAATTATAGAAATTAGAATGATGTGACGATGTCAGAAAAGGCAATAAATTAATAATAACATAATTAATAGAAAATTCAGCCATTTCCTGCCCTTTGATCTCTTAACCCAAATGGGACACAGGTGCAGGCAGTGACCTGGCACTTGAGATCCCCATGTCTCGCAACACAGCGCCTGGGGCCAGTTCCTGGCTCTGGCTCCGGATTCCAGCTTCCTGCCAACACAGGCCGTGAAAGGCAGTGGTGACAGCTCACGTCATTGAATTCCAGCTACTTGAGTGGGAGACCTGAACTGAGTTCCTGGCTCCTGGCTCCTGGCTCCAGCTCCGGTCCAGCCCAGCTGCTGTGGGAAGTGAACCAGTGAATGAGAGATCCTAGTCTCTCTCTGTCTCTTCCTTTTTTGCTCTCCCTCCATCTCTCTGATTCTTAAATTAAAAAAAAAAATACACTGTTGAATGCTGAAGGAAACTATACTATTTAATACATGATACTGGGACAACTGCACGTTTGGGAAAACTAAACACCATCCATAAAGAAAACGTTCTAATGGGTTAAAGTCCTTAGACTGGGGCTGGCGCTGTGGCATAGCGGGTTAAGCCTGTACCTTCAATGCCGAAGTCCTATATAGGTGCTCATGTCCTGGCTGCCCCACTTCCAATCCAGTCCCTGCCAGTGGTCTGGGAAAAAGAGCAGAAGACAGCTTAAGTGTTTGGGTCCCTGCCACCCGCGTGGGAGATGTGGGAGAAGCTCCTGGCTCTGAACTGGCCTAGCCCCAGCCGTTTTGGCCACCTAGGGAGTGAACCAGTAGATGGACAATCGATCTCTCTCTTTGTCTCTCTCCCCCCTCACCCCTGTAGCTCTGACTTTCAAATAAATAAATCTTTAAAAATATACATGATTGGGCCGGCGCCGCGGCTCACTAGGCTAATCCTCCGCCTAGCGGCGCCGGCACACCAGGTTCTAGTCCCGGTCGGGGCGCCGGATTCTGTCCCGGTTGCCCCTCTTCCAGGCCAGCTCTCTGCTGTGGCCCGGGAAGGCAGTGGAGGATGGCCCAGGTGCTTGGGCCCTGCACCCCATGGGAGACCAGGAAAAGCACCTGGCTCCTGGCTCCTGCCATCGGATCAGTGCGGTGCGCCGGCCGCGGCGGCCATTGGAGGGTGAACCAACGGCAAAGGAAGACCTTTCTCTCTCTCTCTCTCACTGTCCACTCTGCCTGTCAAAAAAAAAAATAAATAAAAAATAAATAAAAATATACATGATTATTTAAAAGAAGAAGAAATACAGGAGACTGATTTATCAACCTGGGATACAGGAAGCTTTTTAGATAAAGCACCAAAATCAAAAGCCATAAATAAAAAATTTCCTAGAGTTGATCACACTACAGGCCGTAATTCTTTGTGACAAATGACAACATAAAAATTTTTGGGAGGCCAGTGCTGTGGCATAGTGGGTAGAGCCGCTGTCTGCAGTGCCGGCATCCCATATAGGTGCCAGTTCCAGTCCCACTGCTCCACTTCTGACCCAGCTCTCTGCTGTGGCCTGGGAAAGCAGTGGGAGCTGGCCCAAGTCCTCGGGCCTCTGCACCCACGTGGGAGACCCGGAAGAAGCTCCTGGCTCCTGGCTTCAGATCAGCCCAGCTCCAGACATTGCAGCCATCTGGGGAGTGAACCAGTGGTGGAAGACCTCTCTCTCTCTCTCTCACTCTTGCTCTCGCTCTCTCTGCCTCTGTTTCTCTGTAACTCTGCCTTTCAAATAAATAAATAAATCTTTAAAAAAGTTTTTGGAAAATGACGCATTTGCTATAATTCTTGATAATCCACTTAAGAGACAAAGGATGAGGACCAAGAATAAAGAAAGAGCCCTTAAAAATGAATAAAAAGAAAATTAAAAATCTGATAGAAATTGGATAGCCCATGACCAGGCAATCCTCAGCCTGGGAAACATAAATGTCCAGTAATCGGATTCAAAAAGCTGCTTCATTCTGCTAATAATCACGGAACTAACCGCAAAGTGCAATAAAGAGACGCTCTTTCTCATTCATTAGTTCAGCAAATACTTGGAAGTTCAAATATAGCTTGAAGTGTTGGGAGGGTGAGTGATGGATGGATCCATACATTACTCAAGGAACAGAAAATGTATTTAAAATGTATGAATCTCGGCTGGCGCCACGGCTCACTAGGCTAATCCTCCGCCTTGCGGTGCCGGCACCTCGGGTTCTAGTCCCGGTTGGGGCGCCGGTTTCTGTCCCGGTTGCTCCTCTTCCAGTCCAGCTCTCTGCTGTGGCCAGGGAGTGCAGTGGAGGATGGCCCAAGTGCTTGGGCCCTGCACCCCATAGGAGACCAGGATAAGTACCTGGCTCCTGCCTTCGGATAGGCACAGGGCGCTGGCCGTGGTGGCCATTGGGGGATGAACCAAACTAAGGAAGACCTTTCTCTCTTTCTCTCTCTCTCTAACTCTGCCTGTCAAAAATAAATAAATAAATAAAATGTAGGAATCTCATACATACACTTTGACGGGCATTCGGGCAGGACCAGAATGGAAAGGAAACCTGCATACTCTGTAAGATGGTGATTCCACTTCATCGCTTCTACCTTAAGAGAAAGGAACACTGGCACACATTCCTACAGCAGCTTGCAAACAGTGCCTGCTGAAGTATCTTCTCTGACAGGAAAACCTGGAAATAATCAACGTGTCCATCAACTGTATTAAATGTTCGCTATGCAAGATACTGCATGGTTAGAATATTTCAGTTTGATGTTTAGATGTCAATGGGAAAAGATGCTTATTACTGACTGAAGAAAATGAAGATGGGGGGCCAGCATCGGGGCACAGGGGGTTAAACTGCCACCTGCAAGCCGGCATCCCACATGCCGCCCAGCTGCTCCACTGTGACCCAGCTCCCTAACACTCCTGGGAAAGCAGCAGATGATGGCCCACATACTTGGGCCCCTGACACCCACATCAGATGGAGTTCCTGGCTTGACCTGACCCAACTCAACCACTGCAGCCATTTGGAAGAGAACCAGTGGGTGGAGGAGATTCTCTCCCCGCCCCCTTTTTTAAAACTCTGCCTTTAAAATAAATGCATAAACAAATCTTTTATATTTTTTAAAAAAGAAAGATGTAGAATAGTATACACAATATGATTCTCTATATGAAAGTAAATGAATAAATCCCCAACAGAACAATTGTCTCTAAGTTCATAGGCATATAAATGCCCAGGACGTGTAGATGCCCTTCGGTAGGGCACACTGAGAAGACTCAGGGTACCCCTGCCTCTTCCACCCAGAATCCTCCTGGGAACCCGGGACAACATATTCCACCATGCTTTCAAAATACAGACCTCGTTCTACTCTAATACACACAGACACACACTACCCAGATGTGGGAGACTGAGAGAGCAAGCTGATGTGCAGTAGTCCCAGGTGAAGACATCAGATAGGGGATTAACTTGGTGTTTTAAAGCGAGTGGAGTTAAATTTATAGACACACGCAACACGGACAGGGTGGGAGGGGGCAGTCACCAGATCCCCGAACGCTCTGGGACAAGGGCGCAGGTCCTGATCCATTCAGACGTGGGTGCGTCAAGTGCACGTCACAACAGTTTGAGCACAAGCTCTGAAAGCAGAGAGAACTGGATGCCAGACTCCCAAACTCCTAGGGAAGAAGACAGGCGGGAGGAAGGAGAATAGCCAAAATAAAAGGCAGAGAATGGGGGAGGGGTGGAGAAGAACAAGTAAAAGCAAGGCAAACGGAAAATAAGATAAAAAGATGTTGGCCCTCACAGTGAGCAGGAAAAGATTTTTTTTTTCCAGACTGAATAATAAGATTTGGCAAAATAGATATGAGGCAAAAGCAATGCAGAATGATGTTGTATGATGATAAGAAACAATTAACCAAGAAGATGTCAGAATTCTAAACTTGCACACATCTAATAACCTGAAGATATATATACATAGATATAGATATAGATATAGATATAGATATAGATATATAGATATATATCAGAACATGACTGGAATTAGAAGGGAAAGTAGACAAATCCACATCATGGATTTTTTTTTTTTTAGCGTGCTCCCTTTTCGTATGCCAAGTAGATGAAAAACATTGGTAAGAAAAGAGAAAATTTGAACAATACATTAAACAAACTTGAAATTATAAAGCTGTTTTGGACCTTGTACTCAAAATTTATAGAATAATCAGTCACCTCAAGTATTTAGGGAACCATGTGCTAGATACATGTAATTTATAAAACTGAGCCAGGAAGAGGGAGACTCTGGAGTAGTCTATATGTAATAATCTATGTCCTCTAATAAAATTGTATCAATATTTTAGACTCTAATCGCAAAAAAACCTGCCAGGAACAAATGATTCTGTAAGTGAGATGAGCAAACCTTCACGGAATAGACAACTTGCACTCCGCACAACATGTTCTAATGAACAGAGAATGGGGACAATCTCCTTATTATACTTCATGCCACTAAGGCAACCTCACAACCAAGACAGAAGGGGAGCATGAGGACAGCCTCTTGCAGGATACTTGCTTAGAGCATGGAAGTAAAAACCTAAATAAAATATTAGTATAACAAGCCAACATTATAAACAAGTAGGTATTATTTGAGGAATGCAAGGATGGCTCAACATAAAAAAAATTTAACATAATCATCCCAGTCATATATTTACAGAAAAACCATAGTATCATCCCAATAGTTGTGGGCAGAAGCAGGTGATAAAACTGAATGCTCATTTATGAAAAGTTACCTGGGAAACATATTTAGTCTCATGATGGGTATTTCTCAAAAGGTTACCTTACATATGCTATGTAGTGGTGCACAGCCAAAAGCATTTCTACTAAATTCAAAAATAAGTAAAAAAAATGATTGCTCTCATCAGCAGACAAAAGACATAAAGGTTTGGAAATGATAGAATCGGTCATTATTCCTAGATAAATGTGTCGTTAGCCACATTTGTAAAAAAATATGAAGAAAATCTACTAACAAATTATCCAAATAGATACTATGGGTTGAATAGAATTAGACTTCCCCAACTCTTATAGCCATTTACACCCCAAAGTCTGATGCTAATGGGTGCTGGATTAGGGTGGAGACAATCTTATCATGGCCCCCCGTGGGGGGTGGGTGGGAGGGTCTTGTGGAAAGTCCTCAGGTCACCGGGAGCTTGCCCTGAGAAGGTAGGTCTTGGGGGAGGGCTGGTTCTATAAGCCGGGCATGCTTCCTGTGTGTGTGTGTGTCTCTCTCTCTGCTTTCTGGCTCTCCCAGTGATGGTTTCCTTGTACTTGCTCTGCCCCTGCAGCCTCCACCAGATGCCAGACCAATGGGGCCAGCACATTCCAAACTTGGAACCTCCAAATCAAAAGCCAAAACAAACCCCTTCCTTCCCAAGAAGCTGACTACTACAATAGAGTTTAGCAAGCCTGCTAGACACAAATTTCATCTATATGATTTGATTGCCTTCCTATATATCAGCGACAGTAAGAAATGCAACTTCACAAAATATATCACTCACAATAATAAAATGTAAAAGATATACAAGAACCTTAAGTAAATCATTATGACTTCATTGAAAGGTATAAAGGTCTTCAGTAAATGGACAACTGAGGCACGGGGCAGGACGTAAAGACTCAATGTCATAAAGACGGAAACTTTCTCTAAGATGCAGATTTGGTTCTGTGGCATTTCAGAATGACAGGGGCTTTCCCCTGACCTTGACAAGCTGATCCCAAAGCATGTATGCAGTCACAGTCAGGAACAGCTGTGTGGTGTGTGTGTGTGTGTGTGTGTACTTTAAAAAGTTCATGGAAAATAGAATTAAAAGATAAGCGTACTTTGGTGCAAAAAAAAAAAAATATGTGAAATCTGTGTCTACAAGTATTAGCTGATAGATTCAGTGATACATTTTCCTGCCAGATCAGAGGTTTCTCATGAAGTTGGAGTAACTGAAATAATGTGGTATTAGTGCCAGGACAGACGGTTATCTCAAAGAACAGAAGAGACGGCACAGAAGGGACTGGCTGGCATAAGTGATGGCAAAGAATGGGCTGTTCAACAAATAATGCTATAATGAATGATGAAAGGTGATGGAGTTAAAATATTGTCACTAAGAAAAATGTATTTATTTAAAAGGCAGGGTTATGGGGGGAAGGGGAAGAGAAAAAGAGAGGGAGAGAGAGAGATCTTCCATCTCCTGGTTTACTCACTCCCCAAATGTCCCCAGATGGGCAAGGCTAATGCCACAGGCCAAGAATTCTACTCAGGTCTCCCACATGGGTGGTAGGGACCAAGGCACTTGGGCTGTAACCTGCTGCCTCCCAGGCACAGTGGCAGGGAGCTGGATCTGAAGCAGAGGTGGGATTTGACCCCATGCAGTCTTATATGAGTTGTGGCAGGCTTAACCCCGTGCCACAATACTCACCCTTAGAGTACTGCCAGCATTAAAGTCCTCATGAAATAACAATGTGTTGGATCTAGGCGAAGACTGCCTATGGCTGTTAATTTCCCAAAAACGTGATGTTAGCCATCACATACCTACTGATGAAAGGGCACAAAATCCTGTAGGAAGTTCCCTGCCAACATCAGATGTGGATCTGATCACCTCTCTAGACTGACCGTTCCCAGAAAACACAGGGGCAGGGGAACACGTGCGAGGACGCCACAGGGATGCAGCTGAGACAATGTGGGGTCTGCACAGGACAGCCCAGTCTCTTCAGGAAATAAGTTTCAAAGGAAAAAGGGGGAAATGGAGAATCATAAATGAAAATAGATAGGAAATATCCAACTAGTTCCAAGATACGGAGTTTAATTTAGATCCTGAGTAAAACAGACTGCAAAAAGAAAATTGTTATCTAATTTGTAGAAATCCATTTATTGGTATGGAGTAATTAGTGTTTTTTTTTTTAAGATTTATTTATTTGAAAGGTTGATATGAGAGAGAGAGAGAGAAAGAGAGAGAGAGATAGCCGAAATGGCTGGAACAGGGCCAGGATGAAGCCAGGAGCTTCTTCTGGTTTTCCCATATGGGTGCAGGGGCCTAAGGCCTTGTTCCATCCTCTGCTGATTTCCCAGGTACATTAGCAAGGAGCTGGATTGGAAATGGAGCAGCAGAGACTCGAACCCATGTCCACATGGGATGCTGGCACCTGCAAGCAGCAGTTTAACTGCTATGCCGCAACACCAGCCCCAATTAGTGTTATATTTAGATGTAATAATTTTATTGTGGCTAAAAAGAGACCTGCTCTTGTAAAGGTATTTATGAATGAATCATGTGTCTTGTAAAATATTTATGAATGAATCATGGTGTCAGGATCTGCTTCTGAGTAATTCAGGAGGGGTCATGTTTGGAGGCATGGATGAAACAAGATTGTCGATGAAGCTGGAAGATGAGTTCATGGGGTTTGTGGTCCCATTTGCTATACTTTTCTACATGTTTGGCGCTTTCTAAATAAAAGAGGAAAAACAATGCTGGGATGATTTGTTAGCCATATGAGGAAATGATAAAATTAAGGGCCAGCGCTGCAGTGCAGTAGGCTAAGCCTCCACCTGTGGCGCCAGCATCCCCAAAGGGCTCCGGTTCGTGTCCCAGCTGCTCCTCTTCTGATCCAGCTCTCTGCATGGCCCAAGGGCTTGGGTCCCTGTACCTGCGTGGGAGACCCAGAAG